TAAAGTTTTGCAAACAAAAATAAAGAATTGCAAAATATAAATGAAACAGCACAAAAGCAATGATTTTGCAATACATATTTTCCATGGCCATATCTACTAATTTATTTGCAACGCTGCTTTTATTTTGCGTTTCAGTCAAGTTTGAGCTTGCGATACCATTTTCCCTTTGCACTTCACGTTTCTGCACGTCTCGCTTTGTGGCACTGTTTTGACATGGGGGTGGAGTCAAGGGACGGGGGCGTGTACAACAAGCCTGGGCATGCCTCCCTGGAAGTGACTTCATCGGGCCGAGACGCAGCTCACTGATCCAGGCACCATCGCTGATAATTGTGTTAAATACATTCTATTATTAATCCCTCGTGACATTTAAAATTGAAAATATTTTGATTTTTTAAAGCTAATAGCAGTTACCATTGCTGGACCTGTTTTGTCCCACGTCTGAAGAATGACTCTAAGTTTTTTTAAAAATGAAGCTTGAGTCTTTTTGGTTTAGTTTTGTTGTGGCCACGAGATATTAATTCGTGGGAACGTGATAATATGTCGTGGCCATGAGATCCTAATGAGGGAACAACTTCTAGTTGATAGTATATGCTACCATATATTGTGCAAATACTGTAAACGCCTGACAATTATGCCAATAGCCAAACAAAGTAGTTTCGCTTTCACAACGAAACACACAGCGACTCCACAACATGGCAGCGGCGGCAACAGCAATAATTAAAGTTAAGCCTTCTTTCTTTGGTGAACATTTGGGCGGCGTTATGCAAATCTTACCACATAGTGACGTAGACATGTGGGGGCGTGTTAGAACGAGCCGTTTTAGGTAGGTGTGGCTGACTCTTAACTTTTATAAAGAATATCTCTTTGGATTTGAGACTTTAGTCTTTGCAACTTTACAGATCTTCTTTATGCACCAAGAGCTTGTAACACTCCAAAGAGAAAGGAAAACTTGAAATCGCATCATATGACCCCTTTAAATAACAGTGGAGAGTTGCTCACAAGACTGAATGGACTGTGTGCTCTTTGAAGAATAAGTAACTGTAAATCTCACTTTTGAGGTAAGATTGTTTAAACAATCTTCAGTTTCCTCCGGCTCTTTCATCCAGTTTGGATTAACGTCCTGATCCAGGGAGGGTCTGTGTTGTACCAAATACCTACCACTTAGTTGCACTACCAAAGACTGAAATACTCCAGGAAAGCTCTTTTCATGCTGAGCTAATCAAAATGACCACAGCTGATCACAGTTGAAAGTTGAATGGCTTTGTGTGCATTGAGAAGGTGATTAGCTACGCCTGACTGAGTTTACAAGTCATTTTTAGGATGAAGGTGATTCTTTTTCCAACTCAGTGATTCTGTTTTTTTATTTTAATTTTTCTGACATGTTGGTGTTCTATCTTTCACTTGGATGTTATAAGTTGCACTGAGTAAATACATCTGGATAAAACAAAAACTGTGTCCATCTTTATTTCAGGCTGCAAAGCAACAAAATGTGATTATTTTAAAGGGGGGTGATTCTTTTCTATACCCACTGTATCAAGTGTGTCCAAATTTCAGACTAGTAGTGTATGTGATTTATCTTCATCATTTCTCTTTCCAGTAATGTCATCCTTCAGTGGTCCACTGACTGAGGGGCTTCAGTGCTCTATATGTCTGGACGTGTTCACTGATCCAGTCAGCACTCCATGTGGACACAACTTCTGCAAGACCTGTCTGAATAAGTGCTGGGACAACAGCCAGACCTGCAACTGTCCATACTGTAAAGAAACATTCAACCAAAGACCTGATCTCAAGATTAATACCACACTCCGAGAGCTCGCAGATCACTATAAAGTAAAAAGTGCTGTGAAAAATCTGGAGGACTATATATGTAAAAAACATGAGAGGCCTCTAGCTGAAGGATTTCTCCTCTCTACTGCTGTAGAGTTACTCATCCCTGTGCAAGCCTACAAACACCAGGAACTGCTCTGAGATCAGTGTGAAGACTCATGAGAGTCTGGAGACTCTGAGCAGAGCTCTGACTAAACTACAAGACACTCTAAACAGCAAACTCATTCAAACTAGTATGTCAACTCTTACTTTGATCAGATAAAACATAATGTTGTACAATTTTTTAATATAACCTTAAAGCTGGTCTATAATTCCACATATAAAAACATCTCAAAGATCTCATGATGTTTTATTGTCACGTGTCTCTACAGAGCTGAAGTGGATGCAGCAGTATGCAGGTACAGTGTGCTGTCTGTGATACACTAGATTACATGCATATACTCACAGCTTCATTAATGCACTAGTCTGATTAAAAACACCATCATGAAATATCTGTATTGTGAAGTTGTGATTCATATTCTCTATTTCTCAGTGGATGTGACTCTGGATCCTGATACAGCTCACCCAAACCTCACTCTGTCTGCTGATGGAAAACAAGTGAGACATGGAGACACTGAGCAGAAACTACCAGACAAACCAGAGAGATTTGATTTCCTTGTAAGTGTCCTGGGAAAGGTGGGATTCTCCTCAGGGAGATTTTATTTTGAGGTGCAGGTGAAGGGAAAGACTAACTGGAATTTAGGAGTGGCCAGAGAATCTATGAACAGGAAAGGAGATATCAAACTGATTCACAGTAATGGATACTGGACTGTGGTTCTGAGGAATGGGAATGAATATTGGGCCTATGCTCATACTGACGTCTCTCTGTCTCTGAGAGTGAAGCCGCATCAGGTCGGTGTGTTTGTGGATTATGAGGAGGGTCTGGTCTCCTTTTATGATGTGGAGTCCAGCTCTCATATCTACTCTTTCACTGGTCAGTCTTTCAATGGGAAACTCTATCCATATTTTAGCCCATGCCTTAACAATAGAGGTACAAACTCAATCCCACTGATCATCACACCTGTCAGTTATAATAAATGAATGTACACCCCTAATATGTTTTAGAATGTCCCATAAAACTTTTTTTTTTTTTTTTTAAATAACAAATATTCAGGTCATTTTTCTCCTCTCATATATTATAAAAATAAAATAATAATTGCTTGTAAAATGTACTGTAGAAGCTGCTCTGTTTACAGCTGTTTACGTAATTACAGCATTTGAATAAAGACATGAATTCCTATGAATTGTTGTGTTGTGTCATGTCTGTGTTTTAAACCAGCGCAGGGTCAGCTGACTGTCTGGGTCATGTTTAATCAAGATGTTTTTGATTGTGATTCTTACATTTCATGTTTACAGTCACAGGTCAGGGTCATGGGTTTGATTCCAAGCAATGCAAGAATTGATCGAACTTATACTTTAAACGCAATGTAAGTTGTTTTGGATAAAAGCAATTTGCCAAATACGTAAATCCGAAAAACCTAGATTTCACCAACTGTTTTTAGTAAATGATTCTAATTTAATTTCATAATGTTTATTTATACAGGAATACAAAAAAAAAACCTGTTAAAAAAATAAAGACAATGTTCTTGGTACATTCAGACTGATTTTCAATTACTTGTCCTATAGACTAATAAGTAAAGAAAAACAAAGGAAGAAAAAAAACAGAATGGCTTTGTGAAGTGAATTAAGTTTTTTTATTGAATTAATTTCAGTGATTTGGAGCGCACATATGACGTATGGATAAAACTTCAACTCCCAGGAGACCACGCGGCGGAATGGTAGGATTGAGCGCTTCCGGGTCATCCTCCGATTCAGATTCCGTGTGTTGTTGAGGGTCGAGTTTGCGGTTTCTCGCTCTCGTCTTTCCTCTGTAAATGTCGCAGTGATGTAAATAAGGAGAATATTTGAGACTCTCCATGACATGCTCTACCGGCCTCCGTCCCCGCGGGATTCGACGTGAAGACTGAGGCGTGAACGTCTGTGAGTCTGATCATAAACACTCATCTGCGTGACATCTCTCTATGTACAATCACTTCATACTGATATCACACATGCAAAAAAGAGATTTATCATATGATATTATAATACACTTTTCATTATAACTTTTCAGTACCATGGTATATTTGAAAGTACCATTTCCATTTTACCATTTGATGCCATAACTGTACTGCAATACACATGGTATTATCATGGTGGTAGTGTCTAAAACAGTAATACCATGATAATATTATACATTGTAATATGATGTATGATTAACTGATATATGTATAGAAAGATCTATAGATAGATACTGCAGGATGTATATGCAGGATATATATATATATATGTGTGTGTGTGTGTGTGTGTAGTGTAGTGTAATGTTATATCTATTTAATTTTTTTTATTCTATATGATATGTGATATCTTATTTTCCAAATATGTTTGATGTGCAAGGTTATATGTTTATATTTACATGACATTTTTAAGATTTGATTGATATGCATTTTACATGCTCTTTGCAAAAGAGTGATAAGCATTTTTTTTTTTTTTTTATAATTACTACACCAAAAAACTACAACATGGTAATTTATGCCTGTGGATGCATTTCTGTCATTTGAATAATTTATGCATATATTTGTAAATATTTGAGGTAGTACTGAATTTAAAAAAAGCAATAATATTTATAAGCCCATTCTTCTTCTTTTTCTTTTTTTACTTTTATATTTACATTTACATTTAGTCATTTAGCAGACGCTTTTATCCAAAGCGACTTACAAATGAGGACAATGGAAGCAATCAAAATCAACAAAAGAGCAATGATATGCAAGTGCTATAACAAGTCTCAGTTAGCATTTAAAAAAAAAATGATATAATAAATAAAAAGAAAACCGATAGAATAGAAAAAGAATAGAGCAAGCTAGTGCTAGAGGCCTTTTTTGCTTTTGTTAATTGTGTAATAAATAAAAAGAAAACATGGATAGAATACAAAAAGATTAGAGAAGCTAGTTTTTTTTTTTAAACAAAACAAGCAATTAGTAAATAAATAGAGTACAAGTCTAAAAGGGGCAAGTTTTTTTTTTTTTTTTTTAAGAATAAAATTGGAATAGAGAGTGCTAGAGTTAGAGGGTCAAATAAAGATGGAAGAGATGTGTTTTTAGCCGATTCTTGAAGATGGCACTGAGTTGGGCAGGTCATTCCACCAGGAGGGAACAGTTCATTTAAAAGTCCGTGAAAGTGATTTTGTGCCTCTTTGAGATGGCACAATAAAGCGACGTTCACTTGCAGAACGCAAGCTTCTAGAGGGCACATAACTCTGAAGTAATGAATTTAGGTAAAGGGGTGCAGAGACAGTGGTGGTTTTGTAGGCAAACATTAATGCCTTGAATTTTATGGTCAATAGTACACAACTTGCTGATTCTGAAAAGGCATATAATCAAAGGTGTGTTTTCTTAGTTTACTAGAAAGAAGAGGAGAATGTGGCAGAGTGTTGGTTTGACCGTGTTGGTGATCGTGGCCACGCTGATATGTGTCCTCCTCTTCATGCTCTTCGGTAAGTAGCTGCCGAACACCCTGAGAAAAGATCCTGCAATCCTTCATCTAATGCAGTGACATTTTTAAGTGTGACTTGAGTGTCTGAATACTTTTGGGGTCACTGTAGCTTATCTTAAACTAGAAATTCAAGGACTTGCATGATTCTGTGAAGTCTACCGCAGTGGTTGCTTTCTCCGTGATCTGATGGTCATGAACCTTGTCACATTTCTGAGGAAAAAGTCACACCTTCAGTTACAGGATTCTCTCTCTAGCCTTGAATTCTGGGCTCATGTGTGAGAATGTGGTCGGTTCAGTCATGCACTGCAAAAATAGAGCAGGTTTGCTGACTGTCAGCAACACAGACGTCTCATTTCCAGAGTTCACTGTTAGTTGAGTGTTGACTTTAGTCAAGGTCTCTCTGACTGACCCACATCTGTTAAGGGCACAGGAGCAGTAAAATGGTTTTCTGTACTGTAGAAACCTGTCAGCTGTTACATAAGTGTGCAATGTCCAGCATGTCATTTGAGAAGTTGTGTCCTCATGTCAGACGCAGGCCTGGTTCAGATTTATGTAGGTCACTGCACTAAACATGCCAACACTTATGTGTTACAATATGAGGAAGAAGCTTTTTCTGTATTAACTAAAATGTCAGGATATGTTGAAATTAAAATGAAAATTCTACCAAGAATGAGCCTAGGTCATATTTTACCATCAACATTAATGCATTAGGTAACATGAAAGAACAATGAGCAATTTTCCCGCTGCATTTGTTAATCTTTCTTAATGTTAGTTTATAAAAATACAATTATTGATTGCTTTTTCATGTTAGTTCATAGCGCATAACTAATGGTAAAAAATACAACTTTCAGTTTTTTAAAAATGCATTCGTAAATGTTTAAATTAACATTAACCAATACTAATAAATGCTGTAGAAGTATTGTTCCTTGTTAGTTCATGTTAACTAATGTTTACAAATGGAATCTTTTTTGTAAAGTATCCAGCTGTTTTACATATGACTCTTATTATGATTCTTATTAGATTTGTGTTTTATCCCGAAATAAAGATAAAAATAATTGCATAAATTAAGGTCATAAGATTTTTAGGATATTTTTATTATTTATTTATTTTTATTATTTTTCCTATTATGTTTTACATTCAATTCGTATTATGGCTCTCATTAAATTCTTGTTTTAATTATTTCATATTGTATCCCAAAATCAAAAGACAATTTGATCATTTTCTTTTGCATAAAGAAAATTACGATTTTAATCATTAAAATTTCATGACATTTTCTCACTAAATTCTCATTACCATAATGCATCCAGATATTTACCAGTAATTTTTTTAATATTTTCCCATAATTTTTTTTTTTTTTTTTTTTTTTTTTTGTGATTTAACTTTTTTTTTTTGGATATTTTGCATTGGCTTTATTATTGTTATTATTTACATTTTCCGAGTAAAGTCTTATTACCATAATGTTCCATATGTTTTATATTTGATTCTATTTTTATTCTCATTTGAATTATTACTTTACTTTTCATATTTTACCCAATAATGAAAGTGAAAAAAATAATAAATTGTATTTTGCATAAATACAATTAATGTTGAGAAAATTCTGACATTTTCCCACCAAATTCTCATTACCATAATGCATTCAGATGATTTACATTTGTTTCTTATTATGATTACCATTAGATTTATGTTACAAAGTTCACATTTTACTTCAATATCAATCAAATTATTTTATATTATTTTGTATGAGAAATGTTGACATTACATAATATAACAATTGGGTCACAAAGCAAAATCGTAATGTTTGTAACATTAAGCTTGGTTTCATTAACACAAGTGGCCGAACATTTCTCAGCAAAATGAAATGTAAATCAAGTTTGTCAGGCATCTGAAGTGCATTAGTTCACAGATCATTTTGCAAATACCAGCTCAATCCATGCCTTATCATAAAGTTAATGCAAGTGAACCAGAGTCAAATTTAAGATGCAAATGCAAAGCCATATCATCTCACTCCTAGTTCCAGTGCAATCCTGACAGCCAGACATGGTGTATTCCACTGAAAGTGTCTGTGTGTCCTGTTTGTAGGGTGGTATGTGGTGTGGCAGCTCTTCCTGTCTAAGTTTAAGTTCCTGCGGGAGTTGGTGGGAGACACCGGTTCTCCACAGGCTGAAACCGAGCCCTCCGAGTCCGAGGGTGAACGCAGCTCGCCCCCGACACCCCACCACCGACACAAAACCGCTCGCCAAAGGATCGTCCCTCCTGACAGCACTACATAGAGCCCTGAACCAGATCTCCTCCAGCTCAGTGTCATAACCGTTATGCTATTTTAGGTTATTTCATCAGTCACTGTGCTCTCCTTCACATCTGCTCAGTCATCATGGCTACACTTGTTCACGGTTTTTTTGTATGAACCAGCTCAGCCACACGTTCATGTCCCGACTAACACTCTGCTACCCTCGGCTCCGGCTGCGTGGATGTGTCATATATTTACGCGAGAGCATATCGATGTGTATTTGTTATTGTTTAACCAATCTATTAATGACTCA